CTTAACCACATCTTAGAAGAATATATCTCGCACAATAAACATTCAAAAGTAGTTGCCGAAATATCCAATACAATTCAGAGTGAGTCCCTTTTTCACGTACACTTATAAAAATACACCACGAGACTCCAACCAATCCATCACATTTCCAGCTCAAATCATTTTCAATCAATACCATGGGTAAAATGTTAACGAGAAAGGTAGAGCGCCAACCAAAAAAAAATTAATTTCATTTGGAAATGGTGTGGACCCCCTACCCTCCAAGACCAGCCGCCGCTAACGCCTCCTGCATACCAACACTGCCGAGCATCGTCGCCTGCCCGCCAGCAATAGTCGTACAGAACAACTCCGCACTATACGTCTTATATATCTGATCGACGATCCCACCAAGATGTGGTATGGAAATGGAATATTTTGCAATGTGTTTAGTTCACAATTACAAGCTGATGGCTGTGTTAGAATATGCATTTATATATACTTCTCATTCATTGTTTCGAATCTCATACAAGTGAAGTAAGGATCTATCGGATAAGTTCAATTGACGTAGTCGCGCATTCAGAATTCGAAATGCTCCTGTCGCAACCGAATTCCACAATTTCGATTGTTTAATTCACATGCACTCGAGAGGTTGAATCTACGCATTTTCGGATGGTATTCGTCTATGATGCCGTAAATCCGCAAAGAAAGCACGTGAGTGACACCATCACAGTGTGAATCAAGCCATCAAACTTATCTTGGAAGACTCCAAATTCTAAATGTCAAAACTCTTTACTTCATCAACATTACAACAATGTCAAACTAGATCAACAAAGCCAAAAAAAACACAAAAAATAAAAAAACACAAAATCCGACCTTCGTTTCACCAATTTCTCACCTGAACTTGATTAGCCGATCCCGCCACCGCAAAAAGATGACCCCCATGGGCGTATTTAACTTCTCGACTATTCCTCACTGGAAGATCCTTGTAAGGTTGGATAGCATCCATCAGTAAGTTCATCAACCTGATTGGAATTTTACTCCATCATTCGGATTCAAACAAGTCAAAAAATGGGACAACTTCTATAGACTACAGAAAAATTGACTTTAAATGTGGGAATTCTTTCGCGTATTTTCCACCCAGTAAAAATTGAAACTTTTTTTAATCAAAAATTGCAAATCAGCAATTATGCCTTCTCAATTTCTCACCTAATTCTTCCCGCCAGAGCAACTATCATCCCAAAACCGTTGGGGTGGATTGCCACACAACAAACTTCCTCATCGAACTTCTCATGAATCTCACATTTTCTATCTTCATAATTCCACACAATAACCTGACACCGACACAAATGGAGTTTACCCATGATATGAAAAACGTATTTCACAATTCACTCCGCGAAAAAAGCGTAGGGTATCACGCCACTTCATGTGGAACGGGTGTAACTCCATTTGATATATGTACAAAACTAAGAAAACTCCTGAGCTCAGCTGAGGAAAACCAACATATATTCCTCCAACAGTGCGACTGAAACTTCATTGTGACTAGCACGCGTTCAATCCCGGTACCTTACACTTCTATCAGCACCACCAGTAATCACCAGTGGTCTTCTCACGCAAACACTGACCGCTGTTATTGGCGCTGTGTGGAATGGAGTCGATAAAAAATTAAATTCATTTCTTCCTTGCAGATCCGCATCGATTGACTCATTCAATCCTTCTGAGAAGAATAAACGAAATCATAGCGACTGAAAAAATAGCGACATTTTCAAGTATCTTAGGTGGTCTATGGTAAGATACAAAATAGGTCCAGATGCGCACATTTCAATGATCTAAAAAATTACACGGGAAAAATCTACCTCTCGAAGTGGATGTGATTCCAAATGGTGCAGTTGCGTCGT